TCCCAGGAACCCAGAAAGGTAGGCCCTATCCCCATTTTATAGATGAGGAAACCAAAGCTCAGGAATACAAGTGACTTGCCAAAGGTGCCAGCATTTGTCTTCAGAACTGGTTTTGACCTCAGCGTGAACTCAGTTTGCACTTCCCTGTGTGTAGGTTCCTTCACATAGCCTCTTTGTAACTTTAGTTTTAGGATATGTATTTATTTTAAATAAATATAAACTGATATATGTGTGCATATACATTGTATATCATTCATTTAGAACATACACACATGTATATGTTCAGTATCCCTGGTTACATTCAAACCTAAGGACAGGGTCTGGAGAAAGAAATGGCAACCCACTCCAGTATTCTTGTCTGGAAAATTCCATGGACAGAGGAGCCTGTCCCATGGTGGGCTACAGTCCATGGGGTCATAAAAGAGTCAGACATAACTTAGTGACTAAACAACAACAAAGGACAGGGTCAGTATATTCTGTCTTTGTATCTGTCTCTCTAGCAGAATGCCCTTAAAAAATAGTTGTTCGCTGTTCAACCATTTGACATATATATCTGAATGCAAACTATGTGAGAAGCCTGTGTCACATGCTGGATAAATAGTAGCAATAAGACAAAATTCCTACCCTTCAGGACCATAAGACTTGAGAGTAGATGCGTGTTACAAAGAAGCATAGACAGGTTTCCATGGCAGGGGGCCACAGACTTTTTCTTTGAAGGGCCAGAGAGCAAATACTGTAGGCTTCACGGTCCTGTGGTCTTGGTTGCAACTATTCAACTCTGTCATAGCATGAAAGGATAAACAAATGGGGCTGGTTGTTCCAGTAAACTTTATGTTTAGAGACTGAAGATGGAATTGCATATACTTTCTATGCATTGCAAAATGTTATTCTTTTGATTTTATGCTGAACCACTTAAAAAGGTAAGAACCATTCTTAACAGACCTTACAAACTAAGGAGGGCTTGCTAGATCTAGTCAGCCCCTGATCTATGGAACAGTGTGACAATTAAGACCTAGCTGAATTGTATGTTTTATTGATAGTAATTTTGTTAGGGGCTGAATCTTCAGACGGTATTGTGTAGTCATTGTGTTTTTTTATGTTCATTCAGCCTCAGAATGTTAATCTCATCTTGGTCTTTGATTTAGCATGTTGGGGGAAATGAGTAGCAATTGGTCAAAATTAACTGGAAGTTAAAATTGTTCTATGTAATGCTTATTATAATCTCTCCTGTTGTTTCTTCCAAGACAATTTCAAATGAATTAAAGGACGAAATGTATATTGAGTTGCTCCCTCCATCTCCAAATCAGAACACTTATTGCCACCCCAACCTCCTTCCAAAATTCTCCCCCTTGAAGGTAGTTGATACATTGTTATAGAAGTAAATAGCATTCCCAATACTTGACTGCATCTAATTCTTAAATTGTGGAGATGGAAGGCATCAAAAAGCTGGTTTCCATACCTTTTCCACTGGTAACATGCTGAACGACTGCACTTTTATTTATTATTCACAATCAAAGAACGGCAATCCACACTTGTTCCTGGTTCCAGCTCTCCTTTGGCTGTTAGTAGTATTAGTCCAACATATAGGAATTATTTAAATAACCAGCTTCAATGTAAGGTGTCTTCTTGCATAACTTAGTGATACACAGAGATAGAGGCCTCACTCACATCCTTAAAATTGATCTGATCTCTAAATGTTAAGATATTGGTATGCATTATGACTGACACATTACAGCTCCAGTGGTTTATCAGCTTCATAGTGGCTGGAGGTAGTGTAAGCAAAACAAAGAAGTTATGAGATGATAGCAAGTATCACAGGAAACCTGAGGGCCGGGAAAGGGCCAGATTTATGTGGGGCCCTAACTAGGACCTGGAAAGCCATTAGAACCCCAAGAAGGACTGTGTCTTCAGCTGTGCCCCAGTTTTTCAGGCAGACCAACTCTCTCCAAGCTTTTCTACACATATGTAAATGGTGAGCTAAAGACAACATCCATAGCCTGAAGGTACATCTTCACTGACCCACTGCCTGCCATTCAGTCCCAAATACACATTCTTGGGAGAGAGAATGTTATCAACCTGCTCTGGTCAGCTCACCCTGGCCATTCATCTGTGCCAGCACATAAATAGCAGAAACTGGGACACCAGAGGGATTCCTATTGAAGTTACTCTACATTTGGTATCATATATATAAATATATATAAAGGTGAAAGAAAGTGTTAGTCACTCAGTCATGTCCAACTCTTTGCAACCCCAGGTTCCTCTGTCCATGGGATTCTCCAGGCAAGAGAATACTGGAGTGGGTAGCCATTCCTTTCTCCAGGGGATCTTCTTGACCCAGGGATCAAACCCAAATCTCCCGCATTGCAGGCAGATTCTTTACCATCTGAGCCACCAAGGAATGCCAATGATCAATTTCTATAATAGTCAACACTCACTTCATAACCTTTTCTAAAATTTATTGAAGTATAGTTGATTTACAATGTTCTGTTATGTTCTGGCACAAAGTGATTCAGTTATATACATGTATTCTTTTTCGTATTATTTTCCGTTATGGTTCATTATAGGATATTGATTAAAGTTCCCTGTGCTACACAGTGGGACCTTGTAGTTTATCCATCCTATGTATAATAGTTTGCATCTGCTAATACCAAACCCCCAGTCCATCTGTTTCCCAACCTCCCTCCCCTTTAACAACCATAAGTCTCTTCTCTATGCTCATGACCCATTTCTGGTTTCACTTTGGGGGTCACTAAAGTGTTTCACACCAGGCCAATTTGCAAAAAGTCATTTGCTTATTGAACAGCTCTTGGGGAAAGACAAACATCACTTTGTTTTCACTTTCCACAACTCATCATCAATATTGTCAACAGAGAGAGCAAATACAAAATGTCTGGAAAATTGCTCTGTCAGAAGGGGCCTACAGAAAATGAAGCAAATTTATGTTAGGACTTCTCTCTCTCTCTCATAAACACAGGCCTACAAAGAGTCTTTGTGCTTGCTTGTAATTTTAATATGTAAAAGACACTCACAGGTAGTTTCTACTTACAGATTCTATCATACTCATTCCTTCAGAACTTAATCCAAAGATTTGTATCTTGAAACATAAAGGCATTTCTCACTAAAATCCTATAGGAATTTGGGAACTTTAGGAAAACCATAGTCCTTTTTTTTTTAAGACTCAAATAAATTTTCAACACTGCTGCAGAAAGGTAATTGATCCATTTTACAGAAGAAGACACTGAAACTCAGTTTTGTAAAGGAATTCAAACCCAGGGGTCAGTTGATACACTTCTTGTGAGAAGAAAATCCAGATTCTTTTCATGGAAAATTTTATGTGCTGACTATCTTCTCAGCATTTTTAGATGTTAGACTTAAAAAAAAAAAAAAATCTGCCCTCAGGTGACCACAGGTGCTAAGGGAAGCGGGTGGTCAGATGGGCAGCTGAAGTGCAGTTGATTTCATCACTGCCATGTGAGAACATGTACCAGGTGCTCTGACTGCCCAACAGAGGCACCCAACTCAGCCAGGTTGAAAGGGGTAGGGTGGGATTTTCCATCAGCATCTTCTGGGCTTGACCAGGTGACCCTGGAGGGTAAAGCAAGACTTTCCAGACCCAGAGAGTGGCAAATGCAGAGATACAGCAGGAAGAAAACAGGCAGTCCTCCAACGTGAATGAGCATCACAATCCCCTGGAGAAATGATGAAAACAACCCTCATTGCTGGATGGCACCCCCAGAGCTTCTGTCTCAGCAGGTCTAGCATGAGGACCAAGAACCATGCACTTTCAGCAAACCCCCCAGTGACTCTGCAGCTACGGGACCCCTCACCCTACCCCGACTTGAGAAGCACTGCTTTAAACATCCGAGCCCTCTGTCGGCCGTTCAAATTGAGCTTTGCTTTCCAGGTTTTATCAATTTGGTGTTTATAGCCATGTTACCTCAGAAACCAATTTTGTGTCACTAAACGTTTACTAAAGCGTCTACAAATCTGCCAAGTTTTCTGCTTTCAATTGAAAACACCCCCAGCAGGAAGCCATGAATCATCGAACTGAAAATCGGTCGCCCTGTGAACTGGTTGATCCAGGCACCAGGCTACAGGCTGGCAGTACCTGGTGAGCAGAAAGCCAGAGTGATGATGAAATCCAGAGAGAGAGAGAACTGCTCCCTTCCTTCTCACCCTTCAGTGCCCTGAGAGAAATAGTTGCTGGTCCAGAGCAGAGCCAGTCAACCACCATCCCTCCAGGCTGACAGACAGCTTCATATCTGGTCCCTGTGCTGCAGTTAAAATCTCTGCCTCCCAGTCATGACAACAGCACTAGACGTTCTTTGACTGTATCTGTTTCTAATGGCCATGGAGATGCAGTGGAGAGTTTCAGACATCTCTTGTTGCTGTAATCTGTCTGATATTCCTCTGAGTTCAAAAAAGGAAACCGCAGCAATCCTAGTTCTCAGCTGAGGAAGCGGAGGGTAAGATCTTAGAAATGAAGGTGGCAAGCAAGAACCCTCAACCAGAAGTGTGTGCCAGTTGCTGAAGCTGCTGCCAACTCGCCTAACAGGAAAGTGGGAGGAGTAAAAATGAAAGGGAAAAAAGTAAAAGCAATGAGAAAAAATTAAAGACAGTGCAAATTGATCAGGGCTCCATCCACAAATCTACTTGGGTTCTCATTCAGATCATTGTCAGCTGCCTCATGATGCCCTCCATCACATTTCCCCAAAAGCTTCCTATAGCCTAAATCAAACAGAAAAATCCACATCTCCAGATTTTACCTTAATTCCCCCAGGATTCTTCCCTAAGCCACTGAGTTGGAACTCACCCTCAACCATCTGCTTCCTGTGCCCTTTAAATAACTATTTAAAGGAAGTTGTGTGCCAGTTTCACCATCGGAAGAAAGCCTTTTTATGGTTCTTTTCCCTGCAAGGAAGAAGGCCCCTCTCTTGATGGACGGTTAATGAAGTCCTTCAGTAAGAAAGCACTGAGGGGTTTAGAAACACAAAGTTACAGCTAGAGAACAACTGTTCCTTCCACTGTCCTCACTTTACCTGGGAGAAATCAGAACCTGCAGGGAGTAAGTACTTGCCCCAAATCATCTGCTAATTAGTGCAGACCGGCTCCAAATGCTGGTGGTTTTAGCTGTTCATTTGGCTTGCTAATACTAATTAAGGAGTTTTGAATTAAGATGTTTCCTGGTGATACTAGTAAAGGATAACTATAATCATTCAACACTTTCTGGGTCCTTACCATGTGCACTGTTCAAATGACAAATTAATTCATTTAATTCCAGCACAGTCCTGGGGCAGGGGGTGCTGTTCTCATCTCCACTTGACTGTTTAGGAAACTGAGGTACAGCAATAATTCATATTCATGCATATTTAGGAAACACTGAGAGTCGTTCAATGGTTAATTTATATGGGAGCAATAGGAAAGTAAATTTGAAAGGAAATCTAGTTTATGCTAAATTTCCACCTGATATGTACGTATCTTTATACAAGGCCATTGTGACTGAGTCTTTTGTCACAGGCTATGAACTACTAGAAAGTAGCCCCTTGCGTAGGGCAAATTGGCTGCACCCACATAGCAGTGTCCGATAAAGCTACAGTAAATTGAAATTTACCAGTGGTGGGATTTCTATTCCAGGGTACTCCACAATTTTGAGGCTACTTTTTGAAATGGGAAGGATTCTCTCCAAGATCGTTGAGGATCATCTTGCTGACAGCTTCCTTGGCGGCTCAGAGAGTAAAGGATATGCCTGCAATGCAGAACACCCGGGTTCAATCCCTGGGTTGGGAAGATGCCCTGGAGAAGGGAGTTTCTACCCACTCCAGTGTTCTTGCCTGGAGAATCTCATGGACAGAGGAGCCTTTTGGTCTACAGTCCATGGGGTCACAAAGAGTTGAACATGATTGAGCAACTAACACTTTGCCATAGTAGCTTAGAAAACACATTCTCATGTATCTGCTTAGTAGTAGCTTAGAAAATACATACTCATGTATCTGCTCTGCATGTGCTGTTTTCTTTGTGATTCTGGAGAATTTCTGGCCTGTGTTCACGCAGTATAGACTGCTGTGCTATTCCCAGTCGTGTCCAACTCTTTGCGACCCTATGGACAGTAGCCTGCCAGGTTCCTCTGTCCATGGAATTCTTCAGGAAAGAATACTGGAGTGGGTTGCCATTTCCAACTCCAGGGGATCTTCCTGACCCATGGTTCGAACCCAGGTCTCTGTCTCCTGCATTGCAGACAGTTTCTTTACCATGTGAGCCACCAGGGAAGTTCCCTCTATAGGTTTAGTTGAAATATCAAATGACAACATTTAACCAGTTACTCAAGAGAGTAAGTGTGTCCCCCTTTGACTCATCATTATAAAATATTAATGTAGAACAGTTTGTCTTATCAGGAAGGCACATCTCTCAGTCCACAATGCTACTCCACCAACTTTTTTGCATGGCTCCACTATTTTAGGCTTTAGTTCTCAGGTTAAATGCCACCTCCTTAGAGACCTGACCCCTGCCCTTATTTTCTAAAATCGAGCTTCCAGTTTACACAGGCCGTTTAACTGCAGCTCAGATCTTTATTTCTTTGCTGCAACACAATTGTGTCCGTTCATTTTTTGAAGGATTCTCCTTACTATTAGAATGTAATCTTTCATTTGTCTTATTCATCCCAAAAACTAGCCCAGAATCTGGCACTTTTCTGTCTTTAGCAAACATAATCTATTCTATATGTGTTCTGCGTTTGAAATGCTTAATGAATTTATTTAACCCCGTACTCAGGCACTCATTTCATGTTGTACAGATAAGGAAACTGAAGCATGGAGAAGAGATTAAGTAACTTGCCCAAAGGCAAAAAACTGGTATAAGGATTTTTTTTTCTTTTTAAAAAAATTTTCATTGGAGTATAGTTGATTTACAGTGTTAATTTCTGCTATACAGCAAAATGGCTCAATTTTATATATCTATATATATGCACACATTTATATACATATCTTATAAATATATATGTATATTTTTTCCATATTTCCCATTATGGTTTATCACAGGATATTTTTTGTTTGCAATATTGGTTTGCTTTCTGTCATACATCAACATGAATTAACCATAAATATAGATATGTCCCTCCCTCTTGAGTCTCCCTCCCACCTCCCACCCTTTCCCACCCCTCTAGGTTATTACAGAACTCCAGACAAAGCATGTATAAGAATTTGAACTCACACTAACTCTGGGTTTGTGTTCAGCCATTATTTTTAGCCAGTCTACACACACTGAATTCTTGTTGAACGTATGAACATGTTACCAAATGCAAGTTCATGTGCCCAATCCATGGTGAAGCCAAACAAACCAAAATATCAGAGTTTAGAGCAGAAAAAGATTTATTACAGGGCCATGCAAGGATAGGGTGGCTTGTGCCCCCAAAACCCCAAACCCTCAAGGAATTTCAGCAGGCTTGTTAAAGGCCAGCAAGGGAGGAGTGTGATTAGTTGCAAACTTCTCGGTGTTGAAAGCCTTTGTTGTTGCAGCTGTGCCCGCGGGTCAGGTCACAATGTTCCTTTATACCTCCAACAAGACAAATGTTATTCTCAGTTCTGTAATTTTTTATCTCTATATGGATAGATTCCTAAAGGTCAAAGCCCAGAGAATGGGTTCTCCTGTGTATTTCAGGCTGTTGGCAACATTCTTTTATGAAAGGTGCAGAGCCAGCGTGACTAAGCACAAAGGTTAAAGTGAAAGGAACAGAACGAATGAGGAGTCAGATGTGTTCTTCCCTATTACACACGTATGAATAAGTGAAATTGAAATGTGAGTAAAACAGCAGAGGATGAAATATCCGCCTACCTGTGTCTGCTTTCCTGCCACTTCACCTCCTACATCTGTGTATACATTTATCCACACCTCTAATCTTTGAGTCCCCTTTTTTTTTTTTTGGAAGTATTATTGAAAGTGCTTCTCTTAAAAATTTCTTAATGCAAATAAAAAACACCCTGATGAAGCCAGTGTCCCAAAAACAATATATTCATCATGTGAAAAGAGAACCCCATCAACAAACACAAACATCAGCCTGTTTGATGAAAGTTCTGTTGTCAGAAGAGCTAAATTTGCCTGCTTTATGCTATGCTCACTTTAGCCCCCAAAAGGAAATGCCCACATCCTAACCTCTGAGAACTTAAGAATGTTACCTTATTTGGAAAATTTACCTTATTTGGAAAAAGGATCTTTAGAGATGAAATTTAGAGCTTGAGATGAGAAGATCATCCTGGATTATCTATGAGGGTCCCAAACCTAATGACAAGTGTCCCTATAAAAGATATCCAGAGGGGAAGACAAAGAGGCGGTGGCAAAGTTACCATGGAGGCAGAGAAGCCAAGGGATTCCTGAGCTACTATAAACTGGAAGAAGCCTGTAGCCCTACAACATCTTGTTGAACTTCTACCCACTACAACTGCGAAAGAATATATTTCTGTTGTTTTAAGCTATCTAAATTGGGGTAATTTGTTATGGCAGCCAAAGGAAACCTAGTACACTGATACATGGTGATTATGTTAAATCTTCTTGGTTTCATTAATGAAGCTTTTTGAGGCTGATTTGGTTCACCTCTTTTGTGTAAATGGATGATAAGGCATAAGAGAAATAGCTTACCATAGGCATCTTGAAATATCTTCTTTCTTTTAGTAACTCTGGCTTTACTGTGCATGCCTGTGCATGCACATTAAATCAGTCCTACTGTGAAGAAAGCTGAGTGCCGAAGAACTTTTGAACTGTGGTATTGGAGAAGACTCTTGAGAGTCCCTTGGACTGCAAGGAGATCCAACCAGTCCATCCTAGAGGAGATCAGTCCTGGGTGTTCATTGGAAGGACTGATTTGAAGCTGAAACTCCAATCGTTTGGCCACCTCATGCGAAGTGTTGACTCGTTGGAGAAGAGCCCTGATGCTGGGAGGGATTGGGGGCAGGAGGAGAAGGGGGACGACAGAGGATGAGATGGCTGGATGGCATCACCGACTCGATGGACATGGGTTTGGGTAGACTCCGGGAGTTGGTGATGAACAGGGAGGCCTGGGATGCTGCGATTCCTGGGGTTGCAGAGTTGCACACGACTGAGCGACGCAACTGAACTGAACTGAATATTTCTGGTGTACTTTCCTTCCATTTACGGCAGCTGTGATTTTTTTCTCTTTAATAAAAACATGATCTTTCCCCCTTANTGGTACTAAACAATGACTTCCTAAAATGGGTACTTGATTGTACTTTAATCAAGCCGCCAGCACACCTGCTCGGTGCTTCCTACATCCATACAGTGACTAAGCCATTAATCCTCTGTAAATGTGACACCTGCTCTGGTTTTTCCCTTAAAGGTCCCATGAAAGTGAAAGTGAAGTTGCTCAGTCACGTCTGACTCTTTGTAACCCCATGCACTGTAGCCTACCAGGTTCGTCCGTCCACGGCATTTTCCAGGCAAGAGTACCGGAGTAGGTTGCCATTTCCTTCTCCAGGGAATCTTCCCGACCCAGGGATTGAACCCAGGTCTCCCGCATTGCAGGCAGATGTTTTACCTTCTGAGCCACCAGGGAAGCCCTAAAGGTCCCAATGGGAACCTTTAGCTCCCTAGCAGGCCCTTCTGATAGGGTGGAAGGCAACTAAGCTAAATAACTGATACAAGTTTACTAGGTTGAAGTTGGTCCTACATGTTGCTCCTTCTTTGTTCATGTCAAATAGAAACTAACCTCTCTCTGGTTCCCCAATATATTGTTGAGGGGAAGACTAATTAAAACGCTCCTGAAACTGTTTCTAAATGATCTTATAACCATTTCTAAGTGATCCACAGAGTTCTGTTAGAAAATTTGGTACCATACAGTCTGCTCCCATAATTTCTCCTTAAGTATGCTTTGTTATGTCAAGCCAGAGTAAGTCATGTTATGGTGATATCTTTAAGCAAGCCACTCCAGTGTTCTTGCCTGGAGAATCCCAGGGATGGGGTCGTACAGAGTCGGACACGACTGAAGTGACTTAGCAGCAGTAGCAGTTAAGTAAGCTAGGAAGGTAAGAATGGTTCCTGATGGTTGCTGAAACAAAGTCT